AAATATATGAAAAATTGATGTGGGTACTCAAATGAAAGGTCTTGATGAGTATAATTTCGGGGTGAGCTTATATCTTTAAAAATATCATTAGTTGACAAGATAGCAAGGTCATTTCTTAATTATTTGACATTTTTAAAGATATAAGCTCATCCTGATGTTACACTCATCAAGAGCTTTCATTTGAGTACCCACATGCATTTTGATATATTTTTCATATATACATATATATAATTTATATAAATATATGAAAAATGGATGTGGGTATTCAAATGAAAGGTCTCGATAAGAGTAATGTCAGAATGAGCTTATATCATTAAAAATGTCAATAGTTCACAAAATACTAGGTAATTTCTTAATTATGTATCTAGAGATAGAGTATTCAAAATTTTAAAGAAATTTCTATTATTATTATTAATAATAATAATAAAAATTAATTATTTTTTGTGATGAACATCAGTCTAATAGTTGTTTTTTAATTATTTCTTCAGCAAACAATAGAATCATGGCGGATAGTATTTTTAATCACTGCTGCCAACCTAACTTGCAGTGGAATATTGTATTTAATTTGGGGAACTGGTGAAGAACAACCCTGGAACAATTTGTACGCGAATGACGATGAACAAGGCGAAGAATTACAGAAACTTAAACAAGAACCGACGGAGACTACAGAAAAATGCGATACGGTTGACGAGAAGAAATTAAAAAAGGAAAAAGAAGCTAATGGATTAAAGTAATCAATTATTTATCTCTTGAGATTTTATTATTTTATTTTTTTCTCAACTTCAGGTACACGAGTAACGCGGCAGAGATAAAGTCTTCATTATTTTTTTACGTTATTTTATTGTTACTGTTAATTGTTTATTTAAATATATTTTATTTTTTTAAGTAATCTAGAGAATTGTAAAATATATATTTTGAAGATATAATACTGTGTATTATAAGTTTTTTTATTGTGTGAACAATAGATCATAAATTTAATTGTAATTATTGTTGATATTATTAAAAAATAAAGAAGAAATAAAATTCTCTTAATTTTTTCAAGTACTGAATAATGTCTTCATATAAAATTTAAGGTAAATCAAGTTTTACTTTAGAAGCCATGAAATTAGTATTCGTTTGTCAACTAACGCAGTTTAAAAAAAAAAAGTATTGAGTATTGAATTTCAAACCGCAGTCTTAGAAAGCTGAAAAAAATTTCTTCTTTGCATATCAAGTGAATGAACATATTAAATCAGTCACTTGTCGAGTTGAGTACACTCATATTGACAATAAAAAATAAGTATTTATAAATATTTATAAAACCGTGTACTACTTATAGAGAAGAAATCAAATTGTGGTCTTACAAATTAACTCTTATCTATTTTGCTGAAGGCTAATTTTAAATCTATTTGCTTGAATTATTTTATAGGTGATAAGATTCTGTCTTTTCTATTTAAGAGAAGACAACCTGTAATTTTCATTAGTTTTTACGCTATTCTAATAAGAATATTAATTTGCTTGTAAGTTAAAATATTTACTACGTAGAAAATAAAAAAAAAATTAATGTGATTCTTCAAACTTGTTATCAAAATAATACGATTATCCGAATGAGAGCGACGTACATAAGTTCTTCTTCGATAATACATGTAGATCAATAGTTTAATATTAACGGGTTATCACTTAAAATTCAATTATCACTTCAATTAGTATATTTTTATTTGTTGACGTTCTATATTTGTGCTTTCAGTCATATCAGTTTGTTTACTCGAGTAATTTCATTTTGTAAATAAGTTTTATAATAATTAGTGATCATGTCTATCAGAGGTAAATACTTTTAATTTAATTATATTTATCAATATCAATACTTACCTTAATTAAGAGTGACAATTAATTAGTAAAGTATTTTTTTTTTTTAATAAAGATGTAATAAACTGCCGGGACGTTTTATGGTGGATGGTTTTTTCTGGTTTGGGAGTCAATTTTATGCTGAGAGTTAATTTGAACCTCGTACTTGTTGCTACGGCCAAACAATCTGAAACTCCGGTTGTATCACAATGTGGAGAAGTTATGAACAATACATTTATCAAGAGTGTAAATAATTTTTCAGTGGCTAATAATGAAACTGAAGAAATGAAGGTGATGTGAAATTAAAAGAAGAAATGATGAAAATTAAGCTAGCCGACATTTAAAAATTTTAGAATTTTTTTTATTGAGAAAATTATTACAAAAAAAATAAAAATAAATTTTCATTTGAAGAAAACTTGAAAAACTATGAGTGCAATTTTTTAATGATATTTTTCAGTTCTAATTTAGTAATAGAAAAATAATAAAAAAATTAAAAACGTCGGCTAACTTTAGTATTATGAAGAAATGACACTGAAGTTAACAGACAGAAAATTTTTTATAATTTAATAGTTAATAGCAATTAAATTATTGTGAAAAAAAATTTAATAAAAAATTCCAAGTGAAAATTAAAAAAAAAAATAATTTTTGAAAGAATTTTTTATAAAAATTAAAAAAATTGATAGTTGTCAGCTAACTTCAGTATCATTAAGAAGAAATAAAGTTTTACTTACTTTACTTGTTCAATTTTTCAGCAAGTTCAGTACTCAGAGTATGAACAAGGTCTTGCAATTGGTGCCTATTACTGGATCCATTGGTTAAGTGAAATTCCCGGAGGAGTTTTGGCCCGTAAATATGGAACTAAAATGATTTTTGGAGTCGGCAATTTATTAGCCGCCATTTTGGGAGTTTTTTTGTCTGTCACTATGCAATATAGCCTTTACAGTCTTATTTTCATTCGCGTATTGCAAGGATTAGTCGCTGTAAGTAATTTAAGCTTTAATCCTGAAGTTTAAACTTTTTTAAAAATTAAAAAAAAAAATTTGACACTTAATAGAGACATCCCTTATTAAAAAAAAAAAAAAAGATTAAAACGATTTAAAAAAATTTGAGTTGACTGCTACTTATATAGAGATATAATACAGTTGCCTGGAGTAAATTTTTTTTTTTATGAAAATTAAGTTAGCCGACATCTAAAAACTTTCAGAGATTTTTTTATTGAATAATTATTAAAAAAAGAAGCAAATAAAAAATTTCACTCGTAAAAAACTTGAAAAACTATCAGTGCAATTTTTTAAAAATATTTTTTAGTTTTTATTTAATAAATAAAAAATTGAAAATGTCGGCTAACTTTAGTATTATTTTTTTTTTAATAAGAGATTGTATCATTTTTAAAAAATTTTAAATGATTAAGTATCACGATAGTGAATTTAGCTATTAGCTGTCAATTTTTGAAATTTTTGAATTCTTTGTATGTACAAAAGATAAAAACTTCATTACATAACTTCAATTTTTTGTTTTAGGGCGTTGCGTATCCTGCGACTCATGATCTGACGGCAAAATGGATTCCTCAGAAGGAAAGAAGTAAATTTGTGAGCGCATATATGGGTAATTATTAAAAATCTATTAATACTTCTAATTAAACTAACAATAAATGTTATTTTAGTGATCATTTTTTAGGCGGAAGTGTTGGAATTGCTCTTACATATCCGTTGAGTGGATTTATAATCGATTATCTAGGTTGGGAGTCAGTATTTTATATAACTTCAGTTTTGGGCATCATTTGGTGAGTTTTAAGTATTTAAATAATTTTTTACTATTAATTTCTTCTTATAGATAATTATAAAATTAATTTGTATTCATAAATTCATCCAGGTGGTTCCTATGGATTAGTTTTGTCTATGACACTCCACAACAGCATCCCAGAATATCAGAAAAAGAAAAAAAATACATCCTAGATAATTTAGGGACCTCTGTAGACCATTCAAACCGTAATTTGGCAATTCCATGGAGTCAAATATTGACATCCTGGCCAGTATGGACTTCAGTTCTGTCAAACTGGGGCGCAGTTTGGGGTTACTTTACTCTCATGGCGCAAGCACCGGCTTACTTCAAATTTATCCATGGCTGGAGTGTTGAAAAAGTAATTTAATCAAAATAATTTCTTTAAAAAAATTAATCTAAATGTACTTTTATCACAGACGGGGATATTTTCTGGGCTTCCGCACTTTCTGACGATGTTCTTCAGCTGGATTTTCGCCCACATGAGCGACTGGCTGCTCCAAACCGAAAGACTGACCCTAACTGAGGTCAGAAAACTCGCGACTATTGTCAGTTCAGGACTGCCTAGTTTTCTAATCCTGGGGCTTGCATTCAGCGGGTGTTATCCTGTACTTGCAGTGATTCTTATAATGGGAGGAATCGCTTCAGCCGGCGCTGTAACTTCTGGACCACTCTCTAATCTCGTTGACCTCAGTCCAAATTACGCAAGTATTCTTCTCGGTATCTGTGGCCTTGTTATTGACATTGCTGGCTTTGTTTCTCCAATTATTGTTGGATTTTTAACAAATGATAACGTAAGTTGCAAAAAATTCAATGAAATTAAAACTAGCAGACACTTGACAATTTTTTAATTTTTTTTAGAAATAAGATATCAAAGTCAGTTCTTAATTATTGACATTTTTAAAGATATAAGTTCACCCCGACATTACATTCATCAAGACCTTTCATTTAAGTACCCACATCAATTTTCCATATATTTTATATATTATATATATATATATATATATATATATGTATATATGAAAAAATATACCAAAAATGCATGTGGGTACTCAAATGAAAGCTCTTGATGAGTGTAACATCGGGATGAGCTTATATCTTGAAAAATGTCAATAATTAAGAAATGACCTTGCTATCTTGTCAACTAATGATATTTTTAAAGATATAAGCTCACCCCAAAATTATACTCATCAAGACCTTTCATTTGAGTACCCACATCAATTTTTCATATATTTATATATATTATATATATGTATATATGAAAATGCATGTGGGTACTCAAATGAAAGCTCTTGATGAGTATAACATCAGAATGAGCTTATATCTTTAAAAACGTCAATATTTAAGAAAATACAGTACAAGTTAACAAAAGTCATTATTTAATAAACCAAATTTTATTTATTTATAGTTCATAAGTCACGGCAATCACATAGTGACTGCAAGGTTGCTAATTAATTATTAATTTGTTAAAAAAATTATCAAATGTCTCTCAATTTCAATATCATAAAATTAAAAATTTTATCATTAAATATAATTTATATAATTTATTTAGCAAACTATTGGACAGTGGCGTTTAATTTTTATAATCGCATTTTTAAACATGGCAATTTGCTGCCTTATTTTCTGTATCTGGGGCACTGCCGAAGAGCAATCGTGGAACCAGTATCACACAGTCTCAAAAAACGAAGAAGATTACAAAATTGACATTGAACTTAAGCCGCAATCAAATAATCATAATAAATGATAAGTCTTGATATTAAATAATTAAATTAATAAATTCATAAATTAAGTAGCATTTCAGATTTTATTAAATAGAATCAGTGAAAATTAATACAAAATTTAAAAATGACATTAAAAAATTCATTATTATTAATTGTAAATTTAAAAAAAAAATTAGTGCTACTAAAATTGGTCCACTGGAAGACAAGTTAATTAACAATTACCCAAACAAAGCTGTGCTTTTACTTAGCTAATAAATACACAAAATATTATGCGATTACTTAAAAGTATATTATAGATCAGACTAGTGTCAGCGCAAGGCTCAATGCACGAATATTTCGTACTTATTTCTAAAAAACTAAAAACATTTATATTAAACTTAATTAATTTAAATAATCTAGAATTATAATTTATAATATATTATGCTCTGTGTGTATTGATAGACTTCTGTAATATATATTTTTGTTTCTCTTTTTTATCGTATACGTATTTTTAATTACTGCAATTATTATCTGAATTACAACCGATGCGTCTACGCATTTTATTTATTTTTGATTTATCTCTGCTCTGTAATTCTTATTTATTACTCTTAAAAAAAAAAAAAGAAAACAAATAAATATATTAATAAATAAATATGCCTGCATAAAAAAGCTATAATTAAATTATAAATAAGACAATTATTATAATTATAAATTTATATAGTAATGTAATGAATAATGAAAGTGTGAATAATGATGAAGCTATGTGGTTTAGCGCTAAATTTAAATTCTATCTAAAATTTATTACCCGAGTCCTTGCTCGGTGATATATTTTATCTAATAATTTATGGTGTTTCAAACGCCATTAAATATTAATTTCTCAATAAAGCTACCCTGTACTTGTAAATTTAATTTGTAAGTCACGTAAACGTGAATGAGAATATGGCAGTAATTTTGGTATTTATTACTTGAACACACTGGCACATAGTAGATATATATACTTACTCCAATAAATATATTATCTATTAATTTAACTTTTGTATCAATATAAATATCGATATACTTTCCAATTAAATAGAGAAAAATTATCTTTCAATGGCTTTGAAGCTATTTATCACTTTAAAATACTCCTTTTGTTTTTTTTTTTATTTTAGTTTTGACAGTCAACTCTCTAAGTGTCTATCACTTTTCATAAACATTTATTAAGATATTTAACAGTATCTTCTTTTATTTATTATTAATCAGTTTTATCCTCAGTAATTTAATTCTTACACTGAAAAAAATTTTTTTTTCTTGAAAATGGGCATTGTTGTGACAATAAATTAATTTATTGAAAATTTTAAACAATTTTATTAACTGAAGAAATTAAAATTTTTTCTCACAGTAACTTATTTGTTAAAAAAAAATTTTTTTTAATTGAAAAAAAAAAAATTTAGATAGAAAACTTGCGATTTTTTATTCAAAAATTTTTTTTTCTTAAATTTAGAAAATTTTTTTCAACAAAAAAGTTACTATAAAAAAAAATTCATATTTCTTCAGCTAAAAAATAAAAATTTAAACAATTTTATTAGTTAAAGAAATAAATTTTTTTTTACAGTTATTTTTTTGTTGAAAATATTTTTTTTAAAATAAAAAAAAAAAAAAAAATTAGATAAACAACTTGCGAATTTTTATCCAAAATTTTTTTTTCCAAAATAAGAAAATTTTTTTAACAAAAAAAATTGTTTTTTCAGTGTACTAATTCTAATAAACGCATTTTATTACATGGATGTTTGATTTAAGACTAATGTAACTATAGTCTTCATTAACTTTGATCTGAATCTAATATAATACTCTTTTAATTTATTTTTTTTAATATATTACTATATTATTAATAATTAATAATAAATTAATTGTAATAATAAAATAAAATTTAAACATTAGTCGGCGGGTCCATCGAACAAATGATCGACTTGACGACACTAGCAGCGGCAAGCGCAGCATAGGGCTGCCATTCTTTGCCCCGAGAACCATCTTTGTAATCACAAATTCCCCTTACCACAGCGAAGCTATCTCTGCAATTTCCGAGAATACTTTCAACGACGGCATCCATTTCCCCATCAAATGCGAGACATCCAAATCTTGATGCAAATTTCTGCCTCAATTGATCGTCTCGGGATATCAGTCTACCGGAAGCAATTGATGCCAAGTGCATGCGAGGGCATCCAATCATCCTACAAGACAAATTGCTTTTTTATTTCATTGTAATTTATAGTAATGACTAATGACTAATGGGCTAAGTAATTGAGTGGCTCTTCAAAGAGAAGACAATAGGATAATTCAAGAAGAAATAACAATACCTTTTGTTCGCAGTGTCTTGTGGAGCCGCCGGATGTGCGACTTCGATTACATCCCGGTCCCCAATGGCCATATATAATTTATCTGATTCCAGAGGCGGCTGTTTGAAGTCGTGCTCTGATTGAAGGTTGTCTAGGTTCTCAAGGCCTTCTTTTAAGTATTTTTTCCACGGTACATTTGATTCGTCTTCAGCCTTTTAAAAAATAATTCAATTAATCATTTAATTAGTTAATTTTTTATAATTATTACACTTAAATAAAGTAAGAGATCTAATTATTGTAATTTTACACTTGCAATTTTATTTTAATTAAAAAAAAAACAAACATTTTATTTTTATTTTATTAATTAGAATAAAATTTCAATTTCTTCAATTACTTTAATTAAAATTACCTGTTTTTTAATATTCATTGCCAAATCTTGGAGCCCCAAATTAACAGGACAGTACTCTTTGGTATCAAAATGATAACTACCGTCTTCTTCATTGTGTTTCGCACCTTCGCAGTAAATATACACGTATTTTTTAGTCATTGGTGTTGGGTAAGATACTACAACGTCTCCTAAGCGCACGTGCTTATTGTAATCAGTGTAATGAGGTACTCCACCACCGACTCCCACCAAAAAGACGTAATCAACTTTTTGAAATGTTCCTAAATTATAAAAATATATAAGTTAAATAATTTAGGTCTTGAATTATTTTATTTAAAAAATTTAATAAAAAATTATTACATAAAATACCAATAAATAAATTAATTAGTAAATTGTCAGTAAAAACATAAAATTTTTGAGACTTTTTTTTTTTTTTTTTAATGTAATTACTTCCAGTAAGGAAATTTCTGCCCAAAATAATTAAGATTAATTTCAATGAACTATTTAAACACTTGCTAATATTTTTGTAATAATCTTCATTATTTAATTAAATTAATTATAAAAAAATCATAGACTATAATTAATTAAATTTGACCAATAAAAATTAAATTAATTTTTATCATTTGAAATATATTTAATTAAAAATTTATTTATTGAAAAAAATTAATTAAAATTACCTAATAACCGCGTCGTTGTATTTCCTGCAGCAGTCATAGCTTCTCTCTCATGACCAACCCGCGGTAATTTTGTGCAGACTATCCGATGATCCCCAATATTACCCAGCGTATAAACATTAGACTCTCCTGTAATTAAAAAAAAAAAAATATAATTATAAATTTTATTTATAATACTAATTAAATTAAATTAACAAATAAATGGTGTATTGAACAAAAATACAAGTGCCCCTGGAGCCTAAAAACAATCAACATAATTACATGACACATCTTTGTGCTTTGTAATAATTTTATACGAATAAAAAGAAGAAATAAAGCTGACAATTATTACATTACATATTACATATTTTATACAAGTGAAGAAATACATAATTATAATTATAATTATAGACAAATGAACCGTGTAGGGATGATATGCGTGACATCTCAGCTCCTCTTTTGGTTAATGCGACCCGTTAAGCCATGATATGAATTAATTATTATTATTGTTATTAATATGTAACTAAATTGTTATCAAACTACTTTACCAAATCGGCAAATTACTCGAGGTACACCGTCAGGAGAATCTGGAGAACTTGCAGTACCTAAAGTTTCGTGCATTAATAAGAATTATCTATTTCTAATATTAATTAAGCCATTTTTATTTTATTAATTTATTATTAATAATGTGAAATATTAATTTTGTAGAGTGAAGAATATATAATTAATTTAATTTCTCACCAACAGTAGTGTAGCGAACAAAAGTTTCTTTGTTTTCAATCATCGAATCTACCGCAAGTTTTTCACAGTACTGAGCGGTGATAATTGCTATTGTTGGTTGTTTAGCGCTTGCCATTTTTGGCATTTGTTTAACAACCTTTATTTGCGTATCTTCATGAGCCACTCGGGTAAACGCTCCGTGTTCCATTGCTTTCACTAATCCTTTAGTTTGCAGTTCGTTCATTATCGCTTCAACTTCATTTGGTTCCCAATTGTATTGTCTATTAAAAAAAAAAATTAATAAATAAATTAATGAAGAATATATTTTAATAAATTATAAATTAATATAACATAATAAATAATTTAAAAAAATATAATAATAATAGTAGCAATAGACATTGATATAATTATTTATTACGATACATGTCGATGATAAAAAATTAATATTGTGTCTTAATAACGCAAGATATAATAAAATTGATGATCTTTCTTTGGAACAAATTTAATTTTTTATAAATAAGTATTCTTATTATTTTCTTATGTCTTCAATATCTAACCCGTAATTTAGATTTTTAATAAAAAAACTCGAATAATTGATATTAAATAAAAATTGAATGTTTTAAATAAATTGTAATTAAAAATTAATATTGTATTTAATAGACGCAAGGTACAATAAAATTGATGAGGATTTTTTTTTTGTAGAAAATTTAATTTTCTATAAAAAAAGTATTCTTATTATTTTTTCATATCTTCAATATTTAATCAGCAATTTAAATTTAAAATAGAAAAAATTAATTAAATAATTGATATTAATAATAATAAATTAATAAATACTTACTTAGCAATATCAATTACAGTTACAGGATTTGGATAGGCTGATTCAATTAATTCCAAGACTTTCTCAGATGTCAACTCAACAGACTGGCCCATTATTGTCTCATCGGCCGACACTAAAAAAAAATAAATTATTAATGAATGAAAGAAGATATAATTTTTTTATAGTATTTTAATTAAAAGATTAAATAAAAAATGTTTTATGAAGAAAGAAGACGATTCAGATGAATGAATTGCATTGCTGAAGATGATGATGGCTTAAGGCTGATGACTGATGAGTTATCTATTGAAATAGCTATTAAAATTTAAGATAGTGAAATGTTTGTATAGTTAAAATGTTATGTATGAGTCGAGCTTGCATGATAAAAGTGAAATTTATCGTGGGAAGAAAATTAGGGCAGTGTGACTGTTATTATTGATTACGCTATTTTTAAAAATATCAAGCACTAGAATTATTTTTTAAGTTGTTGAGTCAATACTGTTATGGTTACGTTTCGTGATTCGTGATAATTAACCATGTAAAAAAAATTTTTTAAAAATTATTTATGAATTTTTTTTACACGGTAGATGATATATTGAATTTTAATTCTACATCTAAAGAAGAAACATCTAAAATTGAATTTTTTAATTTACAAAAAATCTTGGAAATTTACTACAAAAATATTTATAAAAAAATTCACGAGTATATCTAGGGTTGCATCGTGCAATTGGTAAAAATTATTTGTGTAAAAAAATTGTTAATATATTTTGTGTTACTTTATCAAAGTCTCGAGCAATTAAACTGGTAATTGATAAAAAAAATAAAAATTAAATTAGCAGAAATTAAAAAAATTTTTAAGATTTTTCTTATTAAAAAAATTAATACAAAAAAATGAAAAAAAAAAAAAAAAAAATATGAGTGGAATTTTTAAAAAATATTTTTATATTTCTAATTTAATTAATAAAAAAAATGAAAAATTTTTAATCTGCTAATTTTAAGATGATTATAAAAATTAAAAAACATTCAGGGTAAAAAAAAACACACTAAGAGCCTGTGTAATTAATAATTAATGAATTAATAAAAATTGCAGAACTTCAAACAGTGTTTTAAATGAGTTTTTAAACTGTTCTTATTTTTGTTTGTGCCTAAATCGAACCTGCTATCCGCACACTTTTCTTAGACCGAGGAAGTGTGAACAAAGAGTAGCCAGTTTGAGCTGTGGATTAAACGCAATATTTATATTTACAATTGTTAATATAATTATTTATGGGTCTAGGTTTACGCATTAATCTCAATCCTCTTAAAATGACAATAAATTACAAAGCAATGACTGTAACTTTTTTTTCGACCGATCACTCGTGTCAATGAGGCTAATTTAATTAACTGAGACCCTCAAGAGAAGAAATAACTTGCTTAGCCACTTAAAAATTTACATCACATTATTATTGCCCTCTTTTGCGGACTTATTTTATTTGTCTATCGCTTAAACTCATGATTGATGTACTTACACGGTCTGGTTGGTAATGTAATTGGTTCTTCCAGTTGTTTCAGTTCGACTTCGAGCTTTTTTATGCTCGGATATTTGTGCTGCATTAATTTCATTATTTTTTTTATGAAGCCCACGTAATCTATATAAATAAAAACAATTTATTATAATCTCAATTAAATTAATTTAAAAGAAAATAAATTTCTTACTAATTAATTTATATTTTATAATATTTTTTTACTAATTAATTTATATTTTAATGAATCTTACACTGAAAAAAAAGTTAACTTAATTTAAGAAAAAAATTCTTGATCAAAGAAATTTTTTTTGAAGAACTTAATCAAAATTTTAATTAGAAAATGTTTTATTTGAGAAATTATTATTTAAAATCATATTTTTTGATTAAAAATTCTTCTTTAAAATTAATTTAATTTTTTTTTCAGTTTATTTGTAATTTTATGTATTTCTTCTTTAAAAAAAAAATAATTTGATATAAGAAAAAAATTCTTAATTGAAGAAAATAATTTTTTAGAGATTAATCATCTTTATTTAAGTTAAAAAATTATTCTTAATTTACATAAATTTTACTTGACTCAATTTTTTTTCTTTTTAAAACTCTTTAAAATATTATTTTTTGATTAAAAATTCTTTTTTAGAATCAATTTAATTTTCTAATTCAATATAATTATAATTTTATATATTTCTTCTTTTAAAAAAAAAGAAAAAAAATTAATTTGATTTAAGAAAAAAATTCTTGATTAAAAAAAATCATTTTTCAAAGTTTTAATTATCTTCATTTAAATTAAAATATTCTTAAACTGGGAAATTTTTCTTAATTTATTAATTTTTTATCTTGAAAATTCTTCAAAATAAATTTTTTAAACAAAAAATTTCTCTCCTGAATCAATTTAATTTTTTCTTCAGTGTATTTATAATTTTATGTATTTCTTCTTTAAAAAAAATTACCTCTAGGAAATTCTTGGGGACTAACAAGTTCCCGAAAAAACTCTTGAGCAACACTTGGATGTTCCGCTTCAGATAAAGAATTAATAAACCAAAATTGTAGAGTACGAGATTCTTGCGTATGTTTTTTAGTTTGCGCGCTAACTAAAAATACCCGAAACTCAAGACAAACATGTGCTGGATCGTTGATTCCATTTGAAACTGTAAACATAAAATAACACACATAAATTACATGCTTTATTTATTCTCTAAAAACAACTGGATTGTATTTAAACAATTCTTATCAGTAACATTTATTTTTATCACTAAATAAACATAAATGACCTTTAAGTCTTTAGATAATTAAAACATAATAATTAGCGAGACAATTGTACCAGCAACTGCGTGTTTATTGATGACTATTCCTTTGTGGTCGCCACCAGCGATATGAACATCTTGCTGATTGTTAGTATTCTCCGGATGATCCAGTGCTTGACGTTCAATAATTAATGTGGTAGATTTAGCCGCCTTGGACTTAGGCGTCATCACAATGTGCTCTGTCAACCGTAAAAGAAGAAGCTCAATAAAATTATTCTTATTGTGTAGTTTATGGCAATAAATTTAATAAGCATGAAGATATAATAACAATAAAAGCAAATAACCGTAACGCAATGTATGTACGGAGTATTGCGATAATATTACTCAATCTTGTCGATAACATCTAAAAATAATGTTAACGTTGAGTTGTATTAGTCAACATACAAAATCATTGATAAAAACTTCAATAAGTGACTCATCTATATCATAAATAATTTAACAGCTTTATATATTAAGATTTTTTGTATTTTTATGAAGATTTTGTTTTTAAAAATCACTTTTGCAAAGTTTTATAATTGATTAAAAATTTTTTTAATCATTAAATTTTGAATTCTGAAAAAAGAAGACTATTTTTTTGTATTTTTATAAAGATTTTATTTTTAAAAATCACTTTTTTAATTTTTAAAATTAACTATTTAATTTTAACTAATTTTTTTTAATTATCAAAATTTGAATTCTAAAAAAAAGAAGACTTTTTTTGTATTTTTATAAATATTTTACTTTTAAAAATCACTTTTGTAGATTTTTTAATTTTAAATCATTTTTTGTAACATTAAAATTTAAATTCTGGAAAAAGAAGACTATTTTTTTGTATTTTTATTTTTAAAAATCAATTTTGTAGATTTTTTAAGCTTAATTAATTTCTTTTAATTGACAAAATTTGAATTCTAAAAAAAGAAGACTAATTTTTTGTATTTTTATAGAAATTTAACTTTTAAAAACCTTTCTTGCAATTTTTTTGATTTTAAATAATTTTTTTTAATCATTAAAATTTGAATTTTAAAAAAAGAAGACTATTTTTATAAATATTTTATTTTTTAATAATCACTTTTGCAAACTTTATAATTTTTTAATTTAAAATAATTTTTTTTTTGTCAAAATTTGAATTCTAAAAAAAGAAGACTATTTTTTTGTATTTTTATAAAGACTTTAATTTTAAAAGTCACTTGCAAATTTTTTAAATTAATTAATAAATATTTTTTAACTTTTAATAATTGTTTTTTAATTATAAAAATTCTAACTCTGAAAAAAGAAGACTATTTTCTTTTTCAAAAATAAACAATAATAAAAAAAAAAAAACAATTTTTAAAAAATAAAGAAGAAATTTTCTTTAATAATAAAGTCCACTAATATCAGTGTCATAAATATTAATCTTTTCATTATCTTCTTACGTCACAGCCATTAATCATATTGTCTAATTATATAAACGATAACAAATTATCACCAATTAAAAAAACAATTTGCAAAAAAACTATTCTCTAAAATACAATGCAAAAAATGAGGTCACTGACCAGTTCTTCTTTCAGCCATCCTGACCAGCGAGCCTTAAAGAGCAGGTCAATAAACACCGAGTCCAAATTAGGTGAGTCAATCAATATTAACAACAAAAGACACGTGAGTAGCGTAATGACAATTAAATCCACCTAACACGTACGACTTAACTCTTCTGTTAACAGAGCTGTTGACTTGCTGGTGATCCAAAGAACCGAGGACAACTGAGTTATCAGAAAGCCCGGCAAGCGGGACCGATGACTGATCCAGGCGATCCCACCACCAACCACCAGTTACTACACTTACAGTATAGTACTGTACCGGAGCCAGCTAAACTGTAACGTACCTACAAGAATATTTACACAATAATAGATGACGTAGTGTATGTACTAGTCCCCTCGCCGCTGCACCCCATCAGGTTAACAATATTCCCCTTCTTCACGAGTAAAACGTTCAACGCATCTGCCTTTACTTTTTCGCTTCCGCGTTTTCCGCGTCGGCGCTAAAATCCTCCGGAGATCAATGGATTCATCGATCTTCCTTTCACTGCAATAAAAATTTTATTATTAGATTAGATATTTCCCCTATTTCAATTTATATTTTATATTTTATTTTAATAAATAATTTATTAACTGTTAATAAATATTTATTAAATCCTATGATGTTAAAAAATCATTTATTAACAATTAATAAAGCTTATTAAATATAAACAAATGCTTCTATCAGTGTACAGCCACAGTCTCAGCTGGCAGTAAATACAAATAAAAATAAATAAATAAATATATCCACTTGTAAAAATGATATCACTCGTTGACGTCATTTGAAATCGAAAGGACCTCGTCATTCGATCTCGTCAGCTTTAAATATAAAATAATTCTCATCTGTGTAATATATAATATGTTGTTATTATTAGCTGTATCTGACCGCTGTAATTGTAATCAAGGCTCATGGCTGTGATTTAAATTAGCGTTCACAGTCCATCGAGCGTGTCGTTAATAAAAATGTTATATCTTCATCTAGGCTTGCTATGCGTTTAGGTATAGAGAAGAGATAGTCTAGACTTTAAATGCAATTACAATAACTTGGGTCTATCCTCGACCATTGTCCCAGTAAATTGAACGTTCATTGCACCCCAGTACTAGTACTCGGGGTTTATCGAGGGTTGAAATAACCCGCGGGTCTTCGACCCATGTAATATAAACCTGTCTGGTCTACTATAAAGCGGATGCTCAAGTTATTGGAGCTCGTAATCCAGATTTCATTTTCATACTCTGGATAGTCTGCTGAAGATGATGAATATCTGTGAAGTTATTGGTAAATATATTGTCAATAGAATTATGTAACATTTTAATAATACTTAAGTTAGCCGACATTTTTAATTTTTTTTAATAATTAAATTAGAACAAAAAATATTTTTTTTAAATTGCTTTTACAATTTTTTTTTTTTTATTTTTTTGTAATCATTTTCTTTAATAAAAAAAAAATTTTGGCTCTCATGTTTTTGAATAAAATTTCTATTTTATCTTTTTTGATATATTTTTTTTTTTTTGAAAAGTACATAAAAAAACGAACAATTAAAAAAAAAAGTTGAATATCACATTTTTCTAAAAAATTTGTTAAAAGTGTGAATCAATTTTTTTTTTAATTGCCCATTTTTTTATGTATTTTAAAAAAAAATATCCAAAATTTTCAAAAAAAAATTTTGTTCAAAAAAATAAAAATTAAAATGGTAGACCCCACTTGTAAATAATTACCCTTAAATACTGATGGCTCTGCAGAAGCTTAGGTTCCAGAATCAAATAAAAATTTTTATCTATCTATTTTTTAAGGTATCATGTGTAACTTATGGAGCATAATAAATTTCTCCTTCCATTGCATATATTAAATTCAATGACGGAAAAACCTTCAGTTTTCTTATATTGTCTAAGTTTACACGTTTTTTTGTGTTTGTTTTCCTTGACACTCTATTTATGGTGTCTCGAGTTTCTAAATAATAAATAATAAAGGTGACTACTCTACTATCTTGATAAATTATAATTAAATATTTGGTTTCACTGCGTAGGCATTTTATTTTATTTTATAGTACTTTTCAAGTTCATCTGATACACTCGAACTTTTTATTTAAAAGAACAATAATTATTTTTTTTTTTATAAATATAAAATAAATTTTACATATGTTAATTATTAGCAGTGAAATAGAAGTAAAAAAAGAAATTAACGTCAATAAAATAATTAATATTTACACAAGAATAGATTAATTAATTACTTGATATAGTTTGAAAATTAAGACTACAAAGTTAAATTTAAAAATTTAATTATTTAAAAACAAATTAGCGACAGCACTTAGAATATTATATTAAGCTAACACATTAAATTAATAATCAATATTATTTTTAAATTGACTGTAATAATAATAATAATAATAACTAGTAATTAAAACATTATTTTATTTATTTATTTATTTTTTGACTGGACTTATCTAATAGGGACTGACGACATAGACGACAAAGAAGTTAAACTAGAAGGTCCAGAGTTTAAATTTAATTTATCTAGCTCGTCGTCAGCTTTGTTGTTCTTCAAATCTTGCTGAGTGTACAGGAACTTGTTCCACTCGTCGCCTCGAGGATGAGCCAAGTTCTCGGCGACGTCGTAGACCCAGATTTTACCAGAGTCGTCACCGACGGTGACGTGTAAGCCGCTGGGAGTCCAGGACACGCGGTTCAACGCAGGACATCCGTCGACGACGACACTCGCGGTGGGTACTTCGGTGTCTTGGTTGAGATTCCACAAGTCCAGCCTGCCGGAGTCGTCGACCGCGGCGAAGAGCGCGGGGTGAGTCGGGGACCAAGCGACGTCGTAGACATAGTCGCCGTTGTGCTCGAATGAGTACAGAGGCTTGTTTTCTTTTAAACTCCATAATTTTATTGTCCAGTCTATGGACGAGGTGAGGAACAGGTGCGAGAAGTCAATGCCTCCTTGGACCGCGTGAGCGCTTACTCCTGTCACTGGTCCTTGGTGACCTTCGTAGGTTTCTGTTACTCCAGCTCTGATTCCGTGACGACAAGCTGGATAATTTATTTTTAATTGACAATTAACAATTATAAATTTAACTAACAAATAATTATCAATTTAAAAAATTAATTAACAATTAATTTGTTTAATTTGATGAATTGTTTCAATGATGATAATTATTTTTTTATTGTTAATTGGTAGGTGATTAAAGTAATGGTTTTTTTACTAACCTGAGTAAACGGTACCGTCTTCGCTTCCAATAACGAAATTGTTTACATCGCCGTGAGGAAAAGCTAGACTTGTTACAGCGATTGGCTTTGATTGTTTTGCTTGAAGATCTAATGATTCTTGCGGCATTGACAACATATCCAGACTCCAGGAGCACATTTTACCGTCTGTTGAAATACTTATTAAATTGTGCGCGTTTTGGGTGCCAACAACGTTTAAACAATAAACTGGATGCTGTAAAATTTAATAAAAATTAATTTAAAAAATGATTAATCAAAAATCAATAAAAACATTATTATAAAAAATTGTTAATTGAAAATTAAGAAAAAAAAATTATTAATTAAGAATTAATTAAAATTGAATAAAAAATTATTAATTAAAAATGAATATAAATTGAATTAAAAATTATTTTTAATTTAATAATTATTAAATTAGTTAAAAAAAAAAATTAATTACAGTATGAGCGCTAGCAGAAAGTGGTGTCCGTTGAATAGGAGTACGTTTCTGAACTCTGTTGTCCCAAAGGACAATTTGTCCTGCATAAGTACCACCGAGAATCAAATTAGGATGGAATCTTGCAAAGGTAGTAGACATCACCGCTGACTGACAGTGAAAGATAAACTCTGGAGTTGTCTTCTTGAATTTAGTGTTCCACACAAGACATATACCATCGGGATCATTCGGTGCGTCTTCATTGCTATTGTAAGAAGCCACGAGCAGTTCAGGGAACTGCGGAGACCAGTCCATTGAAGTGACACAACGGTTTCGTGACCAACGGTCGCAGAAAAATGAACGGTTCAACCACAAACGCTGATGACTTTTTTCGTCCCTATAATTTTATCCCAGATTAATTTCAACTTTGTTTTTATTAAAACTATTTTATTTATTTATTCATTTATTTTTAATAAATAATCAAAAACTATTTTAAATAATAAAAAACTATTTTAAAAAATTTAGTACAATAAAACTTACATTCCATCTTCACCGTCTAGAGTGCCAGTGTAATCAGTGTAAATATCAACAGACTCAGCAAGTGCTCGTTCAACCAATCGGCTTGTTTTATCAAGAAAACGTTGAAAGTCTTCTGATAGAATTATCATTTGCTTTTCTTCTTCACTCAATTCACGAACTAAAAATAAATAATTATTACAGGTAAGATTATTATTATTATTATTATTATTTTAAGAATTACACTAAGAGAAAAAATTTATTTAAAAAAAAGTAAAATTAAAGAAATTAATTTATAAAAAATTGTATTTTTTAACTGAAAAAAAAAAATTAATATTTATTTAAAATAAATTTCTTCTTTCAATATATAAAAAAAATACTAACTCTCTTTAGGTTTCTCCGGTTCTTTCTGCTGTTCATCCTGAGTAACCGCTGGAAGAACTTCCTTGACTTGCGGCAGACCATGAGGCAGGATTCCCGGTGGAAGTTTACTTTGAAAGCCATCGATATGCGGAAGGCTGTTCTCCTCATCCTCGGCTTGGCCATCATCATATGTTAAAACTGTGGTGAATAAGCTACTCCTGGACAACTCTACTCTACCCTAACTCTACTCTAATTATCGACTACCGATATTTAACTTTTAATTTACTTTATTCATTTTATTCAAAATCTCTAACTTTTACTTTAGCTTTTACATCTTTACTCTAAACTTCAAGTTTAATAATAATAATAAAAAAAAATTTTTTTAAATAAAAAAACATTCAATAAATTGACAAACTTTATAAAGCGACATAAAAGCTCGACGCGCATGCTGATAAATAAAAAACCAAACGCGAAAAGCATGCAAGTAAAAAATAAATAAATTCGCAGAGAGTGACGGCAATTTTTTTTTTTTTTTCATTTTATTTTTTTTTAAATTTTTAACAAAAATTAATTATCATCCGTTTCTCTCCACCCTTTCTTCTGTCATGCATTTATTTATTAATAAAAAAAAAAAATAAAAAATAAAACGAGCAAATGGCGTAATGTGTATGACTGATGAATGACGAGTAGTGAATAGAAGGAAAATAATAATGATTAAAAAAAATATTTAAAATAAAAAAAAGGAATTGGAAAAACAAACCAAAAATATAAATAACGCAACTTCCCGAGTATCATGCACTTAAAAAGAAATAAAAATAATAATAATAATAATTTTAGAGAATAAAAATAAAAATAAAAACTACGAGTAAGATTTATAAAATCATGCGGGTTTATATCTTCTATTTAATTTAATGGAATACTAAATTATCGTGCACCTCGAGAAATTCACAGGTAGTCGAATGGGCCAGCGTAAAAAATTTTGTGCTTTATAAATATATAAATAATAAAATAATAAATACGCATGGCATTAATTACTTAAATAATAAAAATGTTTTATATACAACCGCTTTACTTTACAAGCGATATTTTTAAAAACGAGCATTCGTGATTATGAGCCTGAAAGTCTCATTCAGTGCGATGGGAAATTTTTACATTAATTACTTTAAATATGAAGAAAAAATCAATAATGACTATGATAATTATAAAGAAGACTATTGTACAGGCTCTTGAGTGAATTAAGTGATAAGTGAAGCTCGAGATGCTCGTGACACAATTAATAAATCGATTCACCTGAGTAGAGATCACCTACCTGTGAATTCGTCCTCCCACTCTAAACCAGGATTTAGATTGTACTCGTCTTGAAGGAGGGAAAAGAAAATGTCAATCAATTTTGTATCTCATCTATTTGCTCCGCTTTATTCTTTACGATTGTCAATTAATAAATTATTTTTATTTTATTAAAGAGTTTTTGTTAAATAACATTGAAAGTAGCTTTAAATTTATTTATTTCTTCTTTTAAAAATAATTTTCTATTTCTTTTTTGACTGAAATTTTTTTTGCAAATTATTTTCAGTGTTAAATTAAATAATAAAAAAAATTATTCATTTCTTCTTTAAAAAAATTAAATTTCTTCTTTGACTGCAATTTTTTTTTAATTATTTTAAGTGTTAAATTAAATAATAAAAGAAATTTATTCTTTTTTTCTTTAAAAAAAAATTTTCTATTTCTTCTTTAAAGAATTATATTTTCTTCTTTGAATGCAATTGTTTAAAAATTATTTTCAGTGTTAAATTAAATAATAAAAAAAATTTATTCGTGTCTTCTTTAAGAAAAAAATGTTGTTTTTTCTTTAAAAAAATTAAATTTTTTCTTTAACTGCAATTTTTTTTTTTTTTTTTTTTTTTCCCAATTATTTTAAGTGTTAAATTAAATAATAAAAAAAATTTATTCATTTTTTCTTTAAAAAAAATTTTCTATTTCTTCTTTGACTGAAGTTTAATTTGCAAATTATTTACAGTGTAAAATTAAATAAAAAAAATTATTTATTTCTTCTTTAACTGAAGTAATTTTTTGCAAGCTATTTTCAGTGTTAAAAAAAAATAAAAACAATTAATTCCAATAAACAATCGTTAAGAATGGAACAATTAAAAGTTGGGTGTTGTGTAATTCTAATTAGCATGCATTACATTGCCCTGACAAGCTCTAGCGTAAACCTTCTTCTAAGACAAAAAAAATTAATCAACTAAAACTTTTTTCTTTTTCTATCGAGAATTAATTCTCTTTAGTCAGAATACCTCTTCAAACCTCGAGTTACTCCCAAGCACTAGTATAGTCGCACCTTTTTTTCCTATTACTAAATTTACAGGTTAGTCTTATTAGTGATCTATAATTTATCAATTAGTAATTAAATAAAATAATTTACAGCATGAATATTAATTTACAAAATTAGTTTTAGGTTTACTTGATGGACATGACCGTGAATATCTTCCGCAAACTCTGGAAGGTGCGTTAAGTTGTGACAAGAATTCTATTCGCATCGTTTAATCATTTCTTCTTTCACTCATTATCATTATCGTCTGCTGAAGAATAATTAACCATGCATCATTGAGATTTACCATTGATAATAATAATAACAATTAAAGTCGTGCGATAGACCCCACGTGCCCCGACGATACCGGGAAGAAAAGAAGAGCAAAAGAGTAGCCGAGTTTCTTTTTAAGAAGATTTTTTACCGGGTGGAGAGTATGATTTATATGTACGCGTTTTTATTTAAAAATTTAGTTAATTATTTCAATAATAATTATAATGAATAATAACGTATTAATTCTACGCCTGTGGAGCTAAACTGCATCTAACTCGATAAAAACCAAGTGAAATCATAACTTACCGTAATAGTCGAATGCATGAGCTGAGGAGGGGAGGGAAAAAAATAGTTACTTATGAATTCTATTTCTTCTTAATTTTGTTTTTTAATTATAGTTATGTAATAATTAAATTAATTCATCAAATAGACTATGAAAGACCTCCCTACACTCAGGGCATGATTTCAGATCGTCAAAAAAATTAGGTAATTATTTACAAGTAGGGTCAATTCTATTTTGGGCCATAACTAGGTAAAAAATGTTTTATTCTGCTTGTTTTTTAAAATTAAAAAAAAATTTAATTAAATTAATTATTTAATTTTTTTTTAATTTGTGATAAAAAATGTAAAAAAAATAAAGATTTTGATTGTTTTTTTGCCTTCGAAAGTTGGAAAAAATTTTGGCTCTTATATTTTTGGGCAAGATTTCTATTTTATCTTTTTTTGATTTATTTTTTTTTGAAAACTACATTAAAAAAAATGAACAATAAAAAAAAAGTTAAATAGGGTAGAAGTACTAAAAAACTTAATTTGTTTTAATGTACATTTTTTAAAACTCAACAAAAATATGGTTATAATATTGTAATTTTTTATAAATTAATTCGAATGTAACTGGCCAAAAATGGTACTTCTACCCTATTAAAATTTTCTAAAAAATTTATAAATTTGTTAAAATTGTGATAATCAATTTTTTTTTTAATTATTCATTTTATTATGTATTTAAAAAAAATATATCAATAAAATCAAATAGAAATTTCGTTCAAAAAAATGAAAATTAAAGACCCCACTTGTAATATTTACCAAAAATTAATTAAAAATTTTGACGCTCTTTTATTAAATAATAAAAATGAAAAAAAAAAAAACATACGCTGAATGTAGTTAGGTGTTGTATGTTTCAGTGTGTGATTGATGACATTACCAGATAAGAGGAAACATACATATTCATACTATAAAATTAAATTTAAAAAAATTAAAAATTAAACTACCAGTAAATTTAAATTTAAAAACGTGCATTAATTTGTAAAATAATTAAATATTGTTGCACGGACGGAGCCCAGAACTACTATTGCTCTTCTCAGCGACCGATATTTTTATTTTAAATATTCAAAGCAATGACACATGCCTTGTCACACTTATGACCACCCCCCTAAGTTTCTTCGACAGATTCACTATCATTTGTTAATTTAATTCTTAACACGCTTGTTGCTATTTTTTTTATTAAATAAATAAATTTATTAATGAACTGTTAGAAGATGAACAGGAAAACCGTGAGGAGTTTGTTGAGGAACACGAGCCAGGTAATTTGTCTCCAGCCACGCAACACATGAATAATCTCTTGTTGTTAATCAATTAATTAATTGTTAATAAAGTTAGTAATAGTAATTAAAATACTTTTTTTCATTTAATGCGATAAGCGCAAATTAAGCATTAACTTGTGCAAGCGCTTAAAATGATGCGTGCGATTTTTCAACACTGTTTTGTTAATGTCGCGGTTATTTATTATTTAAAAGGCAGGGTGTGGAAGAAAATTAGCAATTTTAAGTTAACTGACATTTTAATTTAGTAAAAAAATTTTTTTAATTCCATATTTAAAAATTAAAACAAAATTGTTAGTGGAAATTTTTTTAAAGCGCTTTTTTTATTGTAGATTTGCTATAAAAATTTTTAAAATTAATTATTGTCAGCTAACTTTAATGTTAATAATTTTAGAAGAAGCAATAGAAGGCGATTATTATGTTATGAGATTTTTGCTAAAATTTTTACAATTAATGGTGAATTATTGAATTTATAAAAAAAAATTTGAAACAAAAGTAGAAAATTAAATTTTTTAAAAAAAATTATCTCATGATTTTTTTATACAATCAATATTTTCACCGTAATTTCAAAATTAAGTTTAATAATTAATGATTTAAATTTATGATGATAATTTTATGAAGTTATAAAAATATTAATTTTGAAATATGGTTTTCTTATTGGTCTTAAAAAAAAATTACAAGACATTTTTTTTTATAAAATTAAATTTTGAACTTTTATTTAAAAAATTTGTTTATACGACCAATATTTCCGCTTTAATATCAAAAATTTGACACCATTAATTATTTTAAAATTAAGGCAAAAATTCTAGTTAAAATAATAATTAATAATAAATATTGTAAGAATTAAGAGATCTTTTTTAATAAAATAAATTGGTCCACACCCCGCAAGCTTAAACCAGAGCTAAATAAAAAATACTAGGTAATTACAAGTAATGGGAGGAAGAATAAAAGTAGACAAAACATACATAGGTAGTTTGGTGCAGACCCACCTTTCCTGGGACGCCACCAGTCAGTCTCAAAGTATCCTGCGGAGCAAGAGTGAGTTGGTGACGTTGTTGTACAGTAGGAGTAGATGGTGTTTGCGGAAGAGGAGGCGGACAGTCCTTGTGTCCAACACCCAGTTGTTTTTTCACCAATTTGTATACACACCGGAGTTGTATACACGCGTGATAGATAAAACCGCAAGATCAGTCGATTTAAACTCAATATTAAAGATTAATGATCAAAATAAATAAAATAATTTAATTTAAAAAGCAAAAAAGAAAAAAATAAAAAATTTAATTAAATTATAAAATAAATTAATTAATTTCGACTAATTTTGCGGTAAAATCAATTAAACGGCCAGGAATTTTTTTTTTAAAATCATTTTTTTACTAATTATCCGCCACCATATTAGATTTTATTAATTATAATTAATTCCAGTTAATATTATTAATTTAATAATTTTAGCTGGAATTTTTTTAAATCCCGAAAAAATTTTAATAAAAATAAAAATCTAATTGTTAGTTTTTTTTTTATAAATAAAGAAAATAAAAAAAAAATAAATTATAAAAAAAATAATCATGATAACAAACAAATGATTGATGAGGTATTATGACTTGAGAAGTGAGATGTAATAATGAAATTAATTAACATAAACAATGTGATTGATGTGATTATGATACTCGAATTGTTAAAATTAATATTTAATCAATTTATTTTATTAGATGATTTATTTTAAGTGAGACTAGACTGTGTGAAGTTGATCTAGTTTTTTTTATTAAGATTAGATGTGCTGCTAGATTTAATTGTGTTACGAAGAGCATTACGACGGTTGATTATTGTAAGTGAATATGTAAGTTTCCTCGCCGAGTATTAAAATTAAAAATAATAATTTTATTTAAAAAGTAAGACAAATAATAAGTCTAGCGATCGGTGTCCAGACAGTTGGTAATTTTTATGATAATTATTTTAGTTCCTTGGATTATTTTTTAATTCAGGAAAGTGCATACAGTGAAGGATTCATTGTATATTATTTGAGAATATTTTTATCATTAAATTAATTATTATTTGATAATTATATGATGATGATTAATAAGAATAAAAATAAAACTCACCGTCGTGGGAGGTCTGTGTCGTCTGAGCTGTCTGGGTTTGTTTGCTGTAAACTACTGGCTCTTTTGGTGGAATGTTTGTGTGGGCTACTGACACTACTGTCAATTCGCGGTTAGATCTCTTCTTTGATGACCCACTGAAGAAATTTATTAGATTAAATAATTGATAATTTTTTTAGCAAATATTTAATAATTTTTTTAACAAATAAATTATGCCAAAAAAAATTGACATGTAGAAATTTAAAAAAATTATAAATGCTATGTTTTAAAAATAATTTTTTAGAAAAGATTTAGTTATTAAATAAAATTAAAAAATGATCCAGTAACTGCTAACTTTAATTTCATCATTATAATTAGCAATTGACAATCTTTTAATTTTTTTTTTTAATAATAATCTAGGTCTAAAAATAAATTTTTAAAAATTGCATTCATAATTTTTTAGAGCTTCTAAAAATGGAATTTTTTAAATAAATTTTTCTTGCTATAATTTATTAGTTAAAAAATTTTCTAAAATTAATCAGATCTTTCAATTTCAGTATCATTAATAATTTATGTTAGTTATAATAATAATAATAATAATAATAATAATTGTAAACATGACTAACTTTGCGGAGATGTGATTTTTTAATAATAAACAAAACTTAAAAAATTGCATTAATAATTTTTTAGAGCTTCTAAAAATGGAACTTTTTAAATAAATTTTTCTTGCTATAATTTGCTAGTTAAAAAATCTCTAAAATTAATCAGATGTCTTAATTTCAGTATCATTAATTATTTGGCAATAATTTTTATGAGTTATAATAAATAATTGTAAAAATGACTACCTCTGCGGAGATGTAATACTTGATGGCTGTATACTGGCATCAGGTGTAGCATTGGCACTTTGATCTGAAGCTAGTGAGTTCATACTCGAGAGACTAGATAGTACATCTATTAAAAAAAAAAAAAAACAACCATCAGTCTAAAAATTTCAGCACCTAGAGCCTGATTACCAGACTAATTAAAAATAATTACCAGACACTGGTGCGACTCCCAATGATGAAAGCATGGCGTCCAGTTCCTTCCGATGGTCTTTATCAGTACCAGCTGCTCGTACCGTTGCTTCCTCAACCTTAATCCCAAATTTAATTACACAATAACTTTATAAATTATTTAAATTAGTAAATAAAAATAAACATACATCTTTCTGTTCTTTTTCTCTCCGACGTCTTTCTTTTTCTTCTCTGATGGCCTGCAACTTGGCCTTCTTTCTCTCCAACTCGGCTTTGCGGTCCGACATCATTTTTGATATATTATCTAAACAAAATATATATTGGACATTCTTTTCAAATTCGCGTATTGATTTACCATTTATATATATGTGTATATATATATCACTGTCTTATTTATAGAGACAAAATCATGATACAAAAATTGATAAACAATTTTTAGGATTTTTTTTTTTACAAATAAATTATTAAATTAATAAAAAAAATTTAATAAAATTTTTTTTTAAATATTTTATTTTTCAAATAAAATTAAACCGTCAGATGTCTGCTGATTTTAATATCTTAAATATCCACAAAATAAATTACTAATGACAGAAATGTCAAACTAACGGTTTGCAAATAAATTAATAAAAAAATTGCAAGTATTAGTCATGAAAATAATTAATATTCACAAGAGTACTTTAAATGTCATTCATATGTTGACTCATATTTAAAGACCTGTTTAAGTAAATTTATAAAAAATTACCTTTCAAATAAAATAGTGTGTATAAATTAATTAATTACTGCAATGCGACACTTAAAAAAAAAAAAACAATAACAACTTGTTGGGACTAATAATTAATCTTAAAAAGTCTTATAAATTTCCTAAACTCAATACGCCTGTACATTAGACCCACACTCCATTTTTGTTCTCGTTTCAATGGCGTCTTACTACTATACTAGCCAGTACAACTACTCTTTATTTACCCAGTGTGTCATTTAAATACTCCAATTAGCTAAAAATAATTTAATAATAAATAAAATAGCTGTCAAATAAATAAATAAATAATTATGAATTTTTTTTATTTACTTGTGAGGTAAATAATATATCCAAGGGAAAAAATAACAATAATATATTTTTTTTGTGAATCTTGTCAGAGAGATGTCAGGTTATCATTCTTTAGACTTTTACATAATTTTCATTTAACCTGTGATTATTATTATTGATAAATTTTTTTGGAAAATAGTTTATTGAAAATTATCAGCTGATTTGTGTAAACAATTAAATATCATGGGAATTATCAAGTAAGTTTATTTATTTTGATTACTTTAAACCAACCTAAAAAATAAATTTTGAATAATTTAATTATATTATTTAATGAAAATTAATTTAGCAAGTCTAAATATTTTTAATTTTTTTTATTTATTAAGTTACAACTAAAAAGATATTTCTAAAAAATTGCACTTATAGTTTTTCAAGTTTTTTACATGTGAAATTTTTTTTTTAATTTTTTAATTGAAATTTTTTCAATAAAAAATTTCTAAAAATTTTTAAATGTCGGCTAACTTTATTTTCATCAAATTTTTTTGTTAAATACAATTAAAAAATTATTAACTGCTAATTTTAATATCATTATTATTTAATAAATAATTTTTTAGATTTGCTGTAAAATCAAGTGTTGCTGGAGGATTAGTTTACTGGACTGTCCAAGAAGGTTTGTGGGGACGTTCTGATGAAAGTATTAATTTTTACAACAGAATTTATTCCACAGTCTCACCTTATATCAAAAAAAATATTCCCAAGGAAGTAGTTAACGAAGTAAACATTAAATTAATTTATTTTTAATTATTATAACCACCTGTCAATTAATTTTATTAATTTTATAACTTAAAAATTGGATAAAAGGTTAATTTTTTATTAAAAAAGCTTCCAGATTTACCAAGTGTCAATTCGATGGCAAACTGGACGGGTTGTATGTGGAACAGAGGAGTAAAAACAAGCATAAGATTTATCGCCGACTTACCAGATCATATTTCCAATGGCATTGAATCAATAAAATCAATGCCTGCGTTACAAGCTCCAGCTGACAGCTCAAGTGCCGAGAAATCAAGCGCTACTGTTAAGAAGGATGAGAAAAAATAAATTTATTAAATACACCCATAGTATTTATTGTAAATAAATATACTCGATTACAATTAATCATTCAAGAATTTATTTTCTTGATACCTTACCTGTCAACTTGACACTTTTAAGTCATACTTATCAAATTAACAAATTTTGAAAATTAGGTTAGAATTTTCAGAGTTCGAAATTCCCTCCAAGCACCACTTGCATCCGTTTTTGACTTTCAGAAAAATTTATAAAAAAAAAATGGAAATTTTTATGTAATTTTTTTAAATTAATTTCACAAAAAATTATAAATATTTTATTTATAAATTTATAAAAAAATTAATTTTATCTGTTAGTTATTTTTAATTATTTTATCATTTTTTGACAGCCAATAGCTAAGCGCGCCTTCTTTTAGAACTAACAGCTGATTGGCTGAGAATTTATAGAGATAATCCTGAAGTTAGCCGTCAGCTGCCAATTTTTAAAATTTTAACAAATTAATTACAATAAATGCTTCTAAAAATTTTCACTTATAATTTTTATTAAATTTTACATGTGTAATTTTTAAATTAAATTTTTTTTTATAACAATTTAGTTGCTATAAAATTAAAAAAAAATTTTAATGTTTTAATTTTCATTAAACTTTTTTAAAAATTAAATTAGCCATCTAAAAATATTAGAATTTTTTTTTTATTAAAAAAACTATTACAAAAAAATTTAATTTGTAAAAAACTTGAAAAACTCTAAGTGCAATTTTTAAAAATTATTTTTTTGTTTTTAATTATTGAAAAAAAAAAAAAAATTAAAATCTTCGGTTTTAATAATAATGAAATTAGCCGACATTTTTACTTAATTTATTAATTTATAACTAAAAAATATTTTTAAAAAATTGCACTTATAGTTTTTGAAGTTTTTAACAAATGTAAAAATTTTTTTTTAATAATTCTTTAATAAAAAAAATCATAAAAATTTTTAAATGTCAGCTAACTTTATTTTAATTTAATTGCATTTAATATCATCGCTTTAATTGAAAATTCTATTGGTTCGCGTGGTAAAAAACAGAGCGTACTGTCGGAAGTTGGTACATCACGAAGTTAGTGGTGGTCGTAGATTGGGTCACGTGACTGTCGGCAGTAAAACATCGGAGCAGTATAAAAAGTAGTTTTTTTCCAGTAGTGCTGAAGAAATGGCGGACAAAGACGAAAACGAAAAGACAATCGAACAAGACTTGGTTGTTACCAAGTATAAAATGGCCGGCGCAATTGTTAACCGTAAGATTATGATACAATGATCATCCAGCTTGCTGGATACTATGATTAATATTATTTACAATTATTTATAACTGTTTATTTAATTAGAAATTTATTACTAGCCATATGGAATGTGGGCCCGCCAATGCCGGCCACTGCTCACCATGTGCACCGCTTTTTAATGCTAATCCATTTATTTCACTAATACTCATTTTATTTCACCAACTTGCACTCTTTATCATTTTATTCATCTATTTTAATTCATCTAAAAATATATTTACACTTCACAATTATTATTTGCAATTTTTTGCGCATAACCACGTTATTTTTCTTGAGGCTATCTTGTTTTTTTTATTTATCTCCATAATTATTGATAAGAACAAAGGCTCAACAAATTATCACCTTTTTTTTATTATTATTATTATTATTAATATTATTATTATTATTTGTGTTTATTTTTTTTTTTTTAATTAAATGAACAGGTATGTTTTGAAGCTAATTATTTTTGTCCTTGCAGAGGTCCTGAAACAGATCCTGGAGAAATGCGTCGCCGGTGCATCTGTCAGGGAGACTTGTGAGTACGCTGACAGTTTGTTGCTCGAAGAAACTAGTAAAGTTTTCAAAAAGGAGAAAGAGTTGAAAAAAGGCATCGCATTTCCAACGTGCATATCTGTTAACAATTGCATTTGTCACTTTTCACCTATCGCCAGCGAGCCAGATCTTATTTTAAAAGATGATGACATGGTTAAAGTGTATGTATTATTTTAATTATTAATTATTAATTAGTCTAGTTTATTTTAAATGATTAATAAAGTCGCAGATATTAAAAAAATTTTTTTATCAATTTTTAAAACTCAACTAGGTAGAAACAAAATTTTTGCAATTTTAAAATAATATTGGTTCTATAAAAAAATTTTTAGATAAAAATTTAATTTTATAAAAAAAAATTGTTATTAGCAGGAAAAATCTTGGCGCTACTCATAACAATTATCTGCTGCTTTGTGTATCATAATTAAAGTTTGAGCTATAAGTAATAAACATTTTTTTTTTTGTAATAAATAGTGATCTGGGTGCACACGTTGATGGTTTTATAGCTGTTGTCGCACATACTATTGTTATCGGTTCTTCTCCAGAGAAAAAAGTAACTGGAAGGAAAGCTGATGTAGCTTTAGCTGCGCACTATGCTTCTCAAGCTGCCTTAAGACTGTTGAAACCTGATACTGAGGTAAATTTATCTAAATAATTATATCAATTAGTTATTTAATCACTCTATAGTTGTTATTATTTTAATTAATTTGATGACTAGCAACCTTGCGGTCACTATGTGACTACCGTGACTTGTAAACTATAGAAAATTAAAATTTCGCTTTATTAATTAACTTTTGTTAAATTGCACTGTACTTTCTTAAATATTGACGTTTTTAAAGATATAAGCTCATCTATGATTATTTTTTAGGTATCATTTAACGATTTAACGCTTATTTAACGGCTCCTTACCTCTACCCTCCATAATTTCAATACTCTTATTCTTCAATGGAATATGAATCTCTAGTGTACAATTGGAAACTTATAGTACTTGACATTCAAGTGGCTAATGGTATGTCGCCTTACATTACTTTTGAAGTAACCTTGGGTATAATTATTCGGGTAAATATTTATTGGTAATATCAGTACGATTTACTAATTTATTTTAAAAAATCGATTTATAATAATTATTTTTATCTTCTTTTTAAAATTTTTTATGCAGAAATAAAATTATAGAAAAATTTTTTTATTAAAGAAAATATTAATTTAATAATTTTTTTAGCAAAGAAAATTTCATTACGTAAAAAATAATCGTTATTACTAGCAACCTTGCAGTCACTATGTGATTACCGTGGCTTGTGAACTATAAATAAATAAAATTTTGGTTTATTAAATAATGACTTTTGATCAATTGCACCGTACTTTCTTAAATATTGAAGATTTTAAAGATATAAGCTCATCCCGGTGTTACACTCATCAAGAGCTTTCATTTGAGTACCCACATGCATTTTTGATATATTTTTCATATATACATATATAATATATATATATATATATATATATATATATATATATGATATATATGAAAAATTGATGTGGGTACTCAAGTGAAAGGTCTTGATGCGTGTAACATCGGGGTGAGCTTATATCTTTAAAAATTTTAATATTTCACAAGATAAAAGACCATTTTTTAATTATAGAGATAGAGCATTTTCAAATGCAACCTAAATACTTATCATAATAAATTTACTATCAGTGAGAATGAAATAAAACCTTGAAAAGGCACAAAGTCAAGACCTTTGCGATGACACTAAATTTCACTAAAAAACCGACTTCATCATATGACTATCACGGAAACACAATTTTTTTTATTTTCTTAATAATATAGATGACTAATGATAATAAATATATAAATAAAAAAAATTTTTCGTGATTGCAGACATACGCAATAACAGGAACAGTTGAAAAAATATGTGAAGCGTACAAATGTAAGCCAATAGAGGGTATGTTGAGTCACCAGCTCAAGCAATTCAAAATAGACGGTGAGAAAACTATAATACAGAACCCGAACGACGCACAAAAGAAGGAGCACGAAAAGTACACGCTGGAAACCCACGATGTGTACGCGATGGACGTGCTAGTAAGCACCGGCGAGGGTGTGGGTCGCGAGCAGGATACCCGTGTTACTATTTACAAAAAAACCGAGGAGACGTATCAGCTGAAGTTGAAAGCTTCGCGTATGTTCTACTCAGAAGTAACCCACAAGCACGGACTCATGCCTTTCAACCTGCGAACCTTCGAGGACGAGAAGAAGGCCAAGATGGCTGTCGTCGAGTGTGTCAACCACAAGCTGATCGAGCCGTTCCAAGTTTTGTACGAAAAGCCTAATGAGTATGTAGCGCAGTTCAAGTTTACAGTATTGCTGATGCCCACTGGACCTCACAAAATCACTGGATTGCCGTTTGAAATTGATTCATTCCAATCTGATTGTGTTGTAGAAGATCCAGAGCTTAAGGTAATTATTTTGAAAATTAAAAAAATTTTTTTAATAAATTAGTTAATGTTAGAAAAATTTGTTTTAAAAAATTCCATCTTTAGAAGCTATAAAAAATTATTAATGATTATTGATACAATGATTAAAATTAGCAACCTTGCGGTCACTATGTGACTGCTGTGACTTATGAACTATAAAAATTAAAATTTTGCTTTATTAAATAATGACTTTTGTTAAATTGCATTGTACTTTCTTAAATATTGACGTTTTTAAAGATATAAGCTCATTCTGATGTTACACTCGTCAAGAGCTTTCATTTGAGTACCCACATGCATTTTTATATATTTTTCATATATACATATTTATAATATATATATATATATATATATAAATATATGAAATATTGATGTGGGTACTCAAATGAAAGGTCTCGATGAGTGCAATAAAAATTTGATTTTTTTGTAAAATTCGTCGGATAAGCTAATTACAATATTAATTACTGCTTACAGATGCTCCTTAACTCATCGGCAAACCCAAAATCAGCAAAAAAGAAGAAAAAGAAGGCTGAAAAACAAGTAGTAGGTGAAGTCGCCATGGAAGTTGACGCCAAGGCTTAACAACAATCCCATAAAATCGTACACCCATGACTTATTGACATCGTGCACTCTCATTTATATCCTACTTTTACATCCAGCTGACATAGTGTCAAGAGTGAGGCGCGATGCTTTCGTAGAACCTACCACGCAATTGTCCAAACTAAAAATAAAAATAAAATACTAACTAAAAAAATAAAAACAAAAGTTAAAATAATAACAATAAATCATCCTCTATGGACACGAGTGTTGTTATTGTGGCATAAAATGCTCTTGCACTGCCACATATCTTCCTTGTTAAATTAAAAAAAAAAATATCACCAATTAATAAATTGTAAAATAAATTTCGCATGCGTGTTTTTCTTTGCGAAAGTGTCAAGATAAACTCTATCAACGACTTTGCTTTGTATTACGCTCTTTTTATCATTAACATTATACATTTATTTACTTATATATTATTTTTACTTCTTTTTCTTCGTATTACACCTCAGAGTATCTCGATTTATCGCAATGGTATCGTTACTGCCTATAATTAATTAAATGATACTGAAATTAAAGAACATCTGTCATTTTTTTAGATTTTCATAAGATCTAAATTATCATGAAAAAATTTTTATAGAAAATTTACACATTTTAAAATTAAATAAAATAATTTGCACTTGTAATTTTTTTTAAATATTTTTTTTTATGATTAATATTTAATAAAAATCAAAAAAATTGTCAGATCTCTGCTGATTTCAGTATCATTTAATTAATGCTAGTTTGTTTAATTCATTAACGATGTGTTTAAATATTAGATTGTATGAGATCTCTCTGTAATAATCATTGTCATTAGACGGATAGTGTATTTAACAGCTAATAATTTTTTTTCAATTATTATTATTAATGTTAATTAAATTTCCAATTATTTTATTACACTTTGTTGTAATTTAGACTTGCGTATTTGTTTTATTAATTTTTTTTTGGTAATTTGAAATTTCAATAGTCACTTTGGACGTTGATAAATCAAATAAGCAATATTAATTATTTTGTTTTAAAAATACATTTAATAAATAAAAAAAAAAAAAATGAATTTACATTGTAAAATTAAACAGAGTGTTAATTTTGGGAGTATTGATAAATAATCATTTACAAACGCTTCGGACTATTTCGTTTGAACCCCCGACCATTTATTTAAATTGTTTTGTTTGCTTTAAAATTATAAAATATTAATTCTTGATGTTAAAAAAGAAAATAATTACTTATAAAAAAAAAAAAAAAAATTAAAGCAGGATTTTTGAGAGTATATAGATAACGGTAACGAAATTGCGTAAAGAGGTAAATAATTATTATAATAATTGTAGAAAAATAATTGATGATAAATTACTTAAGTAATATGATAATTGATAATTTTATATATTAAATCAATAGTTAATCTGTTATAGATATTTTTTCTACTAAAACGAAAAAAAAGAAATATAAATTTTGTGCATATGTCGAGTGTTAATGAGTGTAATTGTATACTTAAAAATTAAACTGACTAAAATTGTCTGTTAAAAATTAAATTCAAAATTAAATCTCCGTTATTGGCAATACATAAAATTAAAATTGTTCGAAAAAATAATAATACAAATTATTATTAATTAATAAAGTCAATTTATCCAGAAAATATTGTATTAATTTTATACTAATGAGCTTGCTACATTTTTCTTTCAATTAATAAAAATCAAGTTAAGCAACAAAGAAAATTTTAAGTATTTACAATGCTTTTATAAATATTTTCTTTTATTATTATTTATTATTTATTATTGTTATTTTTAAGATTATTCAACGAGCATCAAGCCATCTCAACATCATTGCCGTTCTGGAACTTTAACTTTACTATTTTAGTCTTGGGAGTTGTCACATCCGCAACATTTATCTCCATATCATTCTTCAATCCCAGCTCAGTCAGTGTTTTTGTTAAATTAACTCGCGTTTTAACTTCAATACTCGCGACAGTGTGCATGTAAAGAGTTTTATTCTTCCCGTTGATGTTTACTGTGATTCCCGGGTCCTTCATTTGCAAATCGTGACGCTCGCAGAGTATTTCAATCAAGTCTTTTAGTTTGATATTGCCGTCACGGATTTCCAGGTCGCGAGGTATCTCGCTGCAACCTAGACAATCGCTTCTTTTTTCTGCTTCATAGGTGTACGTGTAAATACCGTCAGTGTTATTCAATACCTGAAAATTAATTTATAAATAATATTTACCTAGGAACCTTGCAGTCACTAAGTGACTGCCGTTACTTGTGAACTATAAATAAAATTTTGCTTTATTAAATAATGACTCTTGTTAAATTGCACTGTACTTTCTTAACTATTGACATTTTTAAAGATATAAGCTCATT